CAGTATAACTTGATTTACTTTACCAAAAGTCCCCACCTTAAGTTCTGTCTTCTGAGATTCAAATGAGGGTGTACATCTTTCTTCTATCTTGTGTTCTAAAATGCTTTCTCTGTCAATGTTAAGTTATAATTCAGTGTTTCTGCAAGTGCATCAGAATCACTTGGATTCTTGTTAAAATGCACACCCCACCTTCCCTGTCTGCCCCAGATTATTACTGAGGAGGGGGAGCTGATCTGAGATAGCCAAACAGAGGGCACTCTGGCTCCTCCTTCCACTTTATTCCAGTGATTATTTAGAGGTCAGTAATATTAGCTGCTGGTTCAGCTAATTTGATCCTCTATCAGATTTACCCTGAAAAATTTAATGTAAATCTTTACCTTGTTTTTTGGAAAGGATAAGGACTGGGTCTATTTGTATAATTATATAGTGATAAGGATTAAAAAGGGATTCTGGCAAGTTTTCAGGGCTGACAACAATAACCCAGGAATAATGTAGTGATATCAGATTACCACATCATGATGTTTCCACAGTAATACAGCTTTAAACTTTGCTGGTATGATGATGCCTAAGTTAATGAAGCAACAACCTTAACCTAAGGACACTATGGAAAATAACTTATGTAACTGATTAACAGGATATATTTGTTTGTTTTTATTGAAGTAGAATTGCTTTACAATACTGTGTTAGTTTCAGATACACAGAATAGAGATTTAGTATTTTTGCAGATTATATTCCATTATATGTTATTACAAGATAACGAGTATGTAAGCAGATAGGGCAAGGGGTCCCCAGAGAAAGAACCAGGCATGGCTTTCTTGACGTAAGAGAAGCCATTTTGGCCTAAGCCATTTTGTAATCTAACAAGTCTTGGTAATTAATGATCTTAAGGGAACAAAGGAATGAAGAAACAAAAGAAAAGTAGTCAAGAAGCAAGAGTTCTGAGATAAAACAGAGTCCTAGTTTCTCCTCAAGGGACCTACGAAACAATCTGATACATATCTTTGGGAACTGCAGGTAAACTAAGGCCCCACCCAGTGAAGGATGGTAACTCTGTGCTATGTCCCCAGGCAGGTCAGCACCTAAGGAATGATGATTTTGACCCTGTCTGACCCTGGTGACTTCAATCAACTAAAGCTTGGCTTCTGTCAACCTTTGCCCCAATTCTGTGCTAAGTTCTCTTCTGCTCAAACCTCTTCATGAATATTCACGTCTCCTTAGCTTAAAACTTCCCCAGTTTTGCTGTTGGGGAGACACTGCTTTGGGAAAGAGCCCTTGTGTTCTCCTTACTTGCTGCAAGTAGTAAGCCCTTCCTTCTCCTGGTCTTTGGCTAGGTTGTGTCTTTTGGCTTGATACTCATCAAGACGTAAACCTAGTTTTCGGGTAACAGGTACAATTCCCTGTACTATACAGTATACCCTTGCTGCTTATCTGTCTCTAGCAGTTTGCATCTGTTACTCCCATACCCCAATTTGTCTCCCCACTCTCCCCTCTCGCCTTTGGTAACTACAAGTTTGTCTTCTATATAACAAGATGTATTTCAGTAATGAAAGAAATGAGGAGAAAATACCTTATGTATAGACCATTCAAGTTATGGTAAAGGTGACAGAAAAGTAGGAAAAAAATGAAATTTCTTAAGACACTTTGTTGTATGTGAGTCAAAAATATTTAAGGAAGAAAGTTTTCACTGGCAGTGGTTCTGGGTTATGTTTTCGGACATGTGGGCCCCAAAAGAAAGAGGATGACATACATTCATTTTTCTGGGTGAGAGCATAACGTGTAAGCATATATCTTTATGGTGTCATTATTTCTGTCCCTTTTATTGGCTTGTAATACTCAGTGCTGATTTTGTATACAGTGAATTACAGTATTTACATTTTTTGAAATATCCTGATTTAGGACAGGCCAAGCTATCATGCTTGCACAATTGGTTTTAGCTTCTTAGAGATTTTGGTTCTGCTAAAGGATTAGGTCCCATATTAATAGCTCTATTTTATTACCCTGGTGTGCACAGGCCCTGGATGGGTACTTTGTATATATTATCTTGCTTAATCATTTTGATAATCCAGTAAAGTTGATATTATTGTACCATTTTCCAGATGAGGGAACTGAGACTTAAAGAGGTTCCCAAAGCATACAGCTGGCAAACAGTGAAGGCATAATTCAAATGAGATCTGTTTAGCTTAAAACCTGGACCACCCTTGTAGTTTCAGAAGCTGAAAACTTTCAGGCTCTGTTGTCTACCTGGACCAAGATGAACTGTATGTTATATTTTTATTTATATTTAAAGATGACCTGGCTAAAGGTGAATACATCCTCTTGTGTACTGAAGCAGCTAAGACCGGCCTATGTCTTAGAGACAGCATACTTGGACAAGAATAAAAAGGCCCTGCCTTGTGCAGAGGCTGGGCCAGCCACCGGCGGGTGGGGCTGGGTCACACGGCTGCTGGCTGCGGGGCCTGGAGGGCCCTAGTAGCCCCTTTGCTGTTTTAATTGCACATAATGATGAGCTTTCACAAGGAGGGCCTGAAAGGTCCACTCTGACTCCACAGTGTCTTGGTGGATGCTAGGGGTACAGGAGACGCTGGAATGGTGGTGAGGTAGCCGTGCTGCCTCTGCTCCAGAAACAACACACGCAGCCACTCCTTAGTGCAGAGGGCCTCCTAATCACTGCACCCACCTGTGACCTTACGTAGTCTGACACGCAGGACAAAGCGGTCAAGCCAAATATGGCTCTGGGCTCCGTCACCTCTCCCATCCAGCAGAGTTGAGACCTCTTCCTTCCCACCTTTGGTGTCAGTCCTGTTCTCATTCCCAAACCAAGCAGGAGATACTCGAGGAGCTCCAGCCCATGTCCTAAGGCTCAGCACCCACTTGTCAGTCTTGCCGTCTAAACTGGTGCCCAGTCAGTCACTCTTATCACTTTAGGAAATATTTAGACTCATGAGAACAGAAGCCCTGAGTGAACGGGAGGGAGGAATGATAAATACATTTTTCACTGGGGAAAAAGGAGCATGAAAGGTTCAGAACTCAGAGGACTTCTAGGAAGGACTAAATGTAATGGGCCAACAACACCCTAAATTATACACCTAGGACAACCACCAAAAAGAGGTGTGAAGGCCAAACACACAAGTTATTCCAAGGGAGGGTGGGGAGTGGGACAGACCAATGGTTTGGCGAATGGAAGGCGAGGGGTGGCAGGGAAGTGGAGTTTCCCTCTCACTACCTCCTGCAAAGTTCCTCAAATGTTAATGAGCTTCAGGAGCTTGTGAAAATGCACATTCATGGCTCCTGCTCTCAAGGCTTCTGACTGTGCCACTGGGAAGAGCCACCCAGCACGTGTATGTTCACAGGTTCCCCAGGTGATTCATATTGCTTGGTCTGAAGACCAAATCTTGAGATACTGCTGTACTGTGATCTGACAGGTATGCCACAGATTTTTAAAAGCCGGGTAATAATTCAGAGAGTTGTCACTCACAATTTGAGAACAGTTACCAATAGATCTCTGAGAAGAAAAGCAAATTGCTTTGCTTACTTCTAATGCCTCTTTTTTAAAGCTTGAGTGTCTTTACTCTGTATTCACTTTTATCCCTCTCCCCACCTGAAGGAGGCGTGGCTTTATTAAAGGGCCATGTCAATCAAATGTTCTTAAAGTTTGTGGGGAGTTCGGGTTATGGGAAGGGGTAAGCTGCTAAACTGTAAAAACCAGAGGAGGCCGGAGTGGGGTAGATGTGACTGAGGAAGGAGGAACTGCCTCCTTTAGCTACAGTCAGACTGTTAACTGTAGTCGACTCTGCTTTTGGGGTGGCCGGTACTGTGCTGTCCTCTGCAGGTAGGACCAGCCCAGGCAGGACAGCCTTGGCAATCATTTCCTGGGTGCCAAAGAGGGCGGGCGGAGTGTTTCTGAGTCCAAGGGATAAGAAAGCACTTTATACAGAAGACTTAATTGGTCTCACTCTCTATCCAAGCAAACAAGCAAAAAAATAACAACTCAGTTTTTTTCCTTCCCAGGAAAAGGAGAAAAGGCAAAGTTGGTATTTGTGAAGGGCTGGCATTTTGGTTCTAACTTAGGTATTTATTTTAGTGGAAGTAGCTAACAAGTCCATGCTGCAGCAGAAAACGAACCCCCTCCCCGCTGGCCCTGGAGGAGAGGCACGGAGGCAGAGGGGCTGGTGCTCCTCCACCCGGCCCTCTCTGGGCCCCACTGCCGTCCTAGCCCTGCCCGTGTTCTGGGGGAGGCCCGTTTCACACAGGCAGGGCAGAAGAGCAGGACAAGGGGTCCTACACAGGGGGCTGTGTTTTCTGTTTGCAGATTCATATCGACCTAATCTTCACTCTGGGGAAGAACAGACATCTCGAGTTGAGAAAAAGAAAGTACAGTAAAGTAGTCATGGAGCGGAGAGGCAGCATTCTGAGTGCTGGAAGCGGCACTGAGCTGGGAGCTGGTCTGCTGTGCCCCTGCTCTGGCTGTGCCTTCAGGACCTCACACGCCCTTGGGAAGGAGATGTTACAGCTTGTACATACACAGTCGGCCTCTGATAGCGGATAGCAGTTTGGCATCAGAGGATTCAACCAATTGTTGACGGAAAACATTCGCAAAAAAACCCCCAGAAAATTCCAAAAAGCAAAACCTGAATTTGCCAGCAACATATTTACATAGAATTTACATTGTGTAGGTATTATATGTAACCTAGAGATGATTTAAAGTATAAGGGGAGGTGTGTGTAGGTTATATGCAAATACTGCACCATTTTATATAAGGGACTTGAGCATCTCCAGATTTTGGTACTTGCAGGGGTCCTGGAGTCAGTCCCCCATGAATACTGAGGGATGAGTGTATGACGTGAAGGGGTTAGATTTACTGATCTCCGAGGTCCATGTAATCAGATTAGTTCAGTGAAATGCTTTTTGTAGGCATTAAATGAGCAGTTACGTTGTGTTATCTAACAGATGAGCTGTATTTCAGAATGCAATGAGGCTATGGCACGATACTTTGGCATTACCTGTCATGTCTCAGTATAGGTGTAGGCAGCACGCTTGTCAGGAGCCATCCAAACTCAGCCAGAGTGTGCAGCAGAGGGCCGTAATCTGTTTTGATTTCACAGCCCTGCGTGAATAAGCACAGAGCTCATAGTCTAATGACAAACACACCCAGCTACACAAGTGATCACAATGAAGGGTGATGAGTGTTAGGATCAGGGGACTTCACGCTCCATTAAGTGCCCTTTTACAGGCTGCAGTCGTCCTGGGCTTCATTTCTGCTCCCTGCTGCCTTCCTACCACTGAACTGAGTTAGAAACACTGGGGATCAGAGTGGAGCGAGGTTTCCATCTGGTTCTCCAAGATTTGGGCCTGCCTTTTGTCTTACTCCCTTGGTCTCATTCTGGCATCAAACTTCAATGTCTGGGGCCCCAGGAAGCTCCCTGGGTGATTTGGATCTAAGCAGAGTTCACACTTTCAGAAAACTGGTCTCGGGACTGGGAAGCGAGGACGTGGTAGAGAGTGAGGACCGGGGAGTGAAAGGTGAGAGACGCGGGGAGTGTCTGCACTTTTCACTCATTTGGAATTGATACTTACTGGGAGCTTTACCTCTTATTCCAAATCCTTTTTCCCCCTCAATGGGATATCTAGTTTCTTTGAAAACAATCAAATGTGTCTCTCTAACCTTTCCAAGGCCAGAAAGGCAAACGTGTCCTTGAAAGAGGCTGTCAGCAGGGGCCTGGCGCACACAGGACAACCTCCCTGAATTCAGTCTATATACCTCCAGGGCGGTCGGCTGGATGACATCTGAACTCGGAGCGCACATCATGGTGCACTGTCATCTCTGACTAGGAAGGACAATGCTGTGTGTACATATCTGTTCTGGTGAGACGGAGAACACCTTTGGATATTTTTACCTTTGAAAGGCAGTTCACAAGGTTAAAAAAAAGTCAGCCACAGGTTGCTTGAAGATAAAATACTAGTTATTGTTTTTTCACTTTCAGTCAGTTGTCATGGCATCGTGGAAAGGGAATCTCAGTGCCAGGGGACTTTGTTTAGGATTAGAATGCCAAATCTTTGGGAATCCTCTGCCATTTATGTATAGATAATTATTTTGCTATCTTATAACAAAGCTGAATAGGAAGTAAAGCAATCACCTTTCCACAAACCTGAAAGAAGTTTGTTCAAGCACTTGTGATGAAATTCTCAACATTGAATAAACCTGTCTGAGAGGGGAGGGTATAGCTCAACCGGTAGAGTGCGTGCTTGGTGTGCATGAGGCCCTGGGTTCAATCCCCTGTACCTCCGGTAAAAATAAACAAATAAATGAACTTCCCCACAAAAAAAAGAGAAAAAAAAAGAAAAGAAACGTGTTTGAAGAATACTGAATGTGTTGGGCAATGAAGACCTTTAACGTGTAAGACGAAATACAAAATGGAAGCCAAATTTTCAGAAAACAGTAGTTTACCTCAATAACAGTCCATTGTTCGACTACAATGGCATCATTTCCTTTCTGCTGGATCCTGGAACTCCAGAGCCTTCTTCTTCATAGATAAAGAATCCTTCCAAAGATTTGGGGGAATGGTCCCCTGCGAGGAAAAGGATACAATTAATAAGAGTAGTAAATGCTAAAAGATCATCGAAAACCTCGAATAACCTTGTAGGAAGCTGAAAGAAAAACATTAATGAACACTTGTTTGGACAGCCTCCTTCTCTTTGAAGGTAATTTTTAACGCTTTTTTTTTGCAAAGGTCAAGACAGTTTTATACTTAACTGAATTAAAATCAAACTGTAAATATGAAAACCACAATAAAAACAAGATAAAATAATATACAGTGAGAAGGAAGTGGATTTCCTAAGCCTAAAAAGCATCTGGAAATCACCTTCAACTTGAAATCAAATTTTGGTTTCTGATCTACATGTTGTATGCATGTTAATTATAATTAAGAGAGACAACATCAGAAAGATTAATCCCTGAAATTACAGGTGTGATATTAAAATTAATGTGAAGTAAGATTACTTCAAAAAATATAAACACAGAACAATTCTTTACCTCAATCATGCTTGAAAAAAAAAGGAAAAAGGAAAAAGAATGGTAACAGGAAGATCCTAAACAAGAAGTCATTGTCAGAAGAATTCCTGCTAGGAAGGAAGTTTTGAGGGAGGGCCTCTCTGACATTTTTTTGAATAGCTGACAATAACCAGCTGGCCAAAACTAAACTGATTTTTATGGAAGTTCTTTTGTCTCCTATTTTGCAACAGGAGACAATTTTCCCATGGTCATGTGCTGGTTAAACATTCTGGTTTTTGTACAGCTCATTGTCATATCAAAGTTTCCCTGGTTGACAGTTTTCTAAATAACAACCTACAAACTTTTCAAAAGATCTATTAAGCTTAAAGATAAAAAAGAAAAAAAGTGATTTAGATGTAATTTTCAGTATTTATTTTTATTAACAGGCTATAAACTTCACGAGAAAATCATTATTATTATTATTGTTAATAATAATATTATATGTCATTTACAGTTAGGGCAGAATATCATGAAAGATTTACATTGTTCAGACTGGTTCCCAACAGCCCAGTAAGGTTTAATTCACTGGTTGGAATTGTTTTTCTAATTACAGTATATGTTCCACTTCCTTTAAATGTACTTGTCCACTGTCACACCACAGTGATCAGTGGAATTAAATCTGTTTTTGATTCTAAGTTTAGAGCATCACAAGACTATCTTTAAAATTGTATATTTGCCTCAATTCCTTTTTTAGAATGGGGATATGAACCTTAAAATAATTAGCTATTCTGATAATTATGTAGTTAGTTATAATCTGCTTATTTACTTTAGGATTATATAGTTGGAGACTATGTGTTCTGACTGTCTGCTTTCTTTTTCTCAATTTTGAGATTCCCCAGCACTTTTAAACCTCTTTTGGTTTATCCAAATAAGGGTGCTAGACTCAAACCCTGCGATATGACACAAGAATAAAAGAGAAAAAAATCACTGCTATGCAACAACATGGATGCGTCTCAGAGATACTATGTTGAGCAAAAGTGAGATATGAGAGAGTACCTACTGTGCATTTCAACTGACAAAGTTCAAGAACAGGCAACTTAATCTATGGTGCTGGAAGTCAGAATAATGCTTATCTCTGTGTGGGAGGATACTGACTGGGAAGAGTCATGAGGAGGGATTTTGGAAATGTTCTGTATTTTTTTTTTGCATTTTTCCCAGCTTTACTGAGATATAATTGACATACAAGGAAATGTTCTGTATTTTGAACATTTGTGTTCTGTTCAGCTGTACCCATAAGACTAATGCACTTTACTATATGTATCTTCTACTTCAATTAAAAACAAAAGTTCTTCCTTCTCACTTAAGAGCTCCCCAAGCTCCCTGGCTGGCTTTTTTAGGGACCATGCCAGTCAGCAGAGTCACAGAAGAATGATACTTCCTTCCACAGGAGAGAGTAAGTCTGTCTCTTCAGGCATTCTCCCTGACAGAAGTGGCAGCTGGGGAGGGTGCAGGGAAGGCCTCAAGGGGAGTGACCATTTGGGTGCTTGACGTGTTAAATCTTCCAGGCATGAAGGTAAGGTGATAATTCCGAACAACTACTTAATAATTGTCCTGAACTGAGTCATCTCTTAACATTACATATCCCAGAGCTTCCCACCCAGTGTGCCTTGGCCCGTTGATGAGTTTAGAACAGTCACGGGTGTGCTAAGGCATGGGCGCCCCCTCCTGCCCAGAGCAGCTTTTCCGCGTATCCCCATGTGCGCTGCAATGTTGCCATTTCTACGTGTGTATAGTATGAAAAAGTCACAAAGCGTTGGCCTGACCCAAGGCTTCTCATTTTTTTTTTTTTGGTCAAATACCACCAAAAGCAAAGGAAAATGACTTGTATTATTGAAGGATAGTCTCCAGGTACAGTTTGAAGTGATTTGTGGCAAACAAAAGGTTTTTTATAAAGTCTAATGTTTTATCTTAAAAACCCATGCAATTTTTGCATTCTCTTCAAATATGTTCATATTATGCGAAAAAGCAATGTTCCTTCTTCTGCCCTCTCAACCCCCAATCCTAAAGTAACATCGACATTCTAGGAAGAGGTTTATCCAGTGAAATTGTGTACTCCCTGGCACAAAGCTGCATACCCCTCGGGTACTTGGACCCTGGTTTGAGAAGCACAAGCTTAAAAATTTTCAGGGAGTGGTTTGGACATGTGATCATACCCATTCGTTTCAGCTAGATATGACACTGACATTTTTGTAAGTGTGAGGAAATGGAACATTCCAATGGTCCCATTCCAATGGAACATTTAGTATTTGCGGTCCATGTGTCATTTTTGGCATTAAACTGCCCAGAAGTGGACCTGGGACCATCTCTGAGACGTGGGGGGCAGGCACATGTGGGAACTGTTATATCCGTATTTCATTCACGAACATTCTGTTTCCTGAATGCGTCTCCGCCTGTTTACTCCTCTCCGTCTCTGCATCATCTTTCTGGGTCATTGCAACAGCCTTTTGACAGCCTCCCCACTTCCACACTTGCATTCAATGAGCCATTTCCCAAAGCGGGGCCAAGTAGGTTATTTTTAAAATGTAGGTCAGGTCATAACTCCCTCTTTAAATCTTCAGTGAGTGATTTGAAATAAAAATCCTGGTACGATGGCAAATTGGTTTAGAGCACACACTCCCTCTACCCTCACCTTCTAGTTGCATGAGCACATTACTTAATATTTCTGTGCCTCAGTTTCCTTATCTGTAATAGGGGAATAATCATATCTGCCTCATAGGGCTGCTGTGGGGATTAAATGAGCTAGTAAATGTGAAGTACTCAGAGCAATGCTGGCATCGAGTAAGTGCAAGTACGTGTTAGTTCTCACTGCGTTATGTGTATGTATTATAAGATCCGCACTGAGTGGCTGCTGCTCACCTCTTCCACCTTGTCTGGAGCCATTCCTCTCGTAGACCCTGCTCCCAGCTCCTCCTTCCCACCCTAGGGTTTTCTAGGGACATTTTTCTCTGGCTCTTGACTACTAACTCCTTTCCAGGCTTCCAGTCTCAGTGTACTTGTTACCCTGTCAGAAGGGACCCCCGGCCATCCCTCTAAGTTGGCTCTTCCCTGTTAATCTCATTACAATATTCTGTTGGGTAACATCACAACACTTTTGTCAAGTTTGAAATCAGATATATGTTTTGATACCTGTTACTGCGTGGCTGCCTGATGCTGCCTGGCTAGCTTTTTGATGTTCCTTTTGCTCATCCTTATAAACCCGTGCCTGGCCTAGGGCCTGGCACACACATATATGTGAACTGAACAGACATGTGTTTCACTGTCATCACTCTACCCTACTCCTCATTCTGATACATCTCCTCCACCAACTCCACACAAGTAATTTTATAGGGGTGAAAAGGTTAAAATGAGTATCAAGTGAAGTCTGAAAAGAACTCACAAAAAGTAGCCTTCTGATGTGGGTATACTAAAGGTGGGAAGAGGATGATGCTCTAAGGATGATGGGGACATTGGTAGGTAGTGAAGTGTGAGAACTTCAAGGCTCTGTGTGTGTGTGTGTATGTGTGTGTATGTGTGTGTGTGTTTTGTACCAGCTGGCAAGGCTGCCCATCTCATCCATGTCTGCTGCCTGCTGGTTCTCTATCCATTTTGGAAGAATGAAGTGTTTTGTCTCTGTTGGCTCAAGTGGGTAAGCCTCTTGCAGGCTCCCCTAGGTCATTTGGAGGTTCTGTAAGTGTGTAGTGAATCCAGCTGTGGACCAGTTTGGTGGAGGCCCAGCAATGCCGGACAAGGTCAGGAACAGGAGGCCTTTGCAGTGAGAACTCTCAGGCTACAAGAACAGCAAGAGGGTCCCTGGGGACCTCTGCCTATGGGACTTTTTAAGGTAGAAAAGTCTTTGAAAGTGGGTGGGAAAGAGCATTGAAGAGGAATTTCACAGACCAGACAACTTTTCCACCACGACTCTCCTGAAGGAGATGACTTCAAAAAAGTTTTTTTCCCTTCTCTCTCTGTTTTTGAAGACTTTTATAAAGTGAGATTTCTGAAATGAGATTTGTGGAGTAACATATTTAAAGTTCTGAGCAATGTCAGGTTTTGTACTTCTACTCCTCAAGGTGGGCTGACTTCTGACAATATTTTAGAAGAGGATGGAAGCAAGACAAAACAAAATCTACATTGTCCTCTGTGTGCTTTAGATGTCAGGCATCAGATATCCCAGAACAAAGCCATCAGTTCAGCCCTGCTTCCTCTGACTGGCTTCTCACAGTCACACAGGCATTGGTCACAATTTCCCCTCTGCAGCTTCCCTGTGTCCTCCCAGGAAAGTCCCGAGTGACACACCCAGTTGCCAGACCCTGCTGACTGTGGTGGCTCTGGTGGCTTGTTAGGGTTTGGCATGGCCTGCAGTACAAAACATCTAAAGAGACATTCCAGAGCTGCTGAGAGGCAGGGGGGGCACCACCCCCCATCCCCAGCTCTCTAAATAGCTTCTGAGGCTTTAAGAAACAAAAGCTCTACAGAGCCCCTGGCTGGCATCTGCTGTGGCTAATTTTATTTTCATCAGGCAAAGCCCAAGGCAGGGGTGCCTGAAAGATACTGTGAAAGGAGTGTTTTTTGTATTTCCTTCAGCAGTTAGTCACAATCCAAAATTTGAAATTGCTCCAACTTAGACTCTCTGGAGAGGGGAGGGAGAGAGGGAGAGAGAGAGAGAGAGACAGAGAGACAAAGACAGAGAGAAATATATGAAGTACAAATTGACCTCCAGATAGGTGGTTCATTCTAGCAGTACTGTTGCTGCATCTAGGAAGTAGCAGGAAAGAAAAACAACCCCAGAAAATGAACTGACAAGGGGTGAGGTGCTGAGGGGCTCACTTTGTACATACTGTATCTTATTAAATTCTATAACAATTAGGAGTGTTTTTGTCCTCCTTTTAGGAAACTGAGGCTCGGTGAGCTCAACTACCTTCCCCAGGTCACACAGCTCTAAGTAGAGGACGTAGGATTTAAACCCTCGTCTGTCTGATCCTCACGTCCATGCTCTTCAAATCAGGTCTGGCTGTTTCCATAAAAGATCAACTTGGAAGAAGTTGCTGATAACAAAAAACGCTAATAAATATTTACTGAGCACCTGTTAAGTGCCAAGCACTGTGCAAGGTGCTGTATTCCTGGTGCTCCAATGAGCTGGATTCTTACTCTTGGTTGCTAGTTAAAGGGACCTACTGGAACATGACTCGTTAATTTTAAATAGTCATCCAAAATCTTTAGCTGTATTGGTTAAGGTGTCACTAGGCTGATTTAATGATAATAAGGTATATTGCGATTTCCTCATATTTGCTTTCTCATTCCTTCCTGTAGCCTCGTTGAGTTATGGTCCCTAGCTATCCTGAGCTTCATAACCTCCATCCTTCCTGATGCAGTTCCCAGTCTCCTGACTATCGATTTTTCTTTTCTTTCAGCACTAACTTCTTTTGAAAAACACATTCCCTAGAAATCATTTATGGAAAATTTTGTTCATTTTTGTGATAGACATGAATGATTACATAATCCACTGTAACTAAAAGAAGAAGGCTAGAGAAAAATGAAAAATAGGGGGAAGGCTAAATAAATATCAGTTAGTATCGTTTTCTGAACCAAAATTTATTTTTCTATACAAATTATAGAAAGAGTCAGGTATAGATTGGAGTACATGGTGGGTAGTGTCCCAAACTGGGCAAGTGTAATAAACTTGGATAGTCATTGTCAAATCCTGTCACAGGCCTCCTGACTGGCCTGCTGTAGTAAGTACACCTTCATTTGGGAAATCTTACTAGTTGATCACACAGTGGTTTGTCCATTCCTAATCGTTACAACCCAACAGCGAACATTACACTATAATTCTACCACACAGTATGGTTAAGCTTTTACATTGAAGCTACATAGCTGTGTAATAACTGGAATCTATTTCTTTAGGAATAATATCTGTCCTTTTAACCACAAAACTTGAGAGGCAAAGACATTTCCACCAACTCTGACGTGAGGTCCAATTCTTTAGCTATTAACATACCGTAGTGTAAAACTTACCTTTAGATGTTTCCCAGCACACAAAGGAATCAATTAAAGACAAGCCTTGTTTATAATAAAACGTAGTTAACTCCAGCCAGTCGGCATCAAGCGTACTAACGACAGGGCCTTTTCTTGTCACTTTCATGGACAGGATGCCTTCCTGATAGGTCCAGCAGGTTGATTCATCATCAAAAACATTGAAGACTGTGTACAGCTTGTTATCTGAGGACAGGCATTCAGAAGGAGGAAAAAGGGGGAAAACTATAATTGTATTGAAAAGATTCCTAAAATCTTTTTTTGGTAGTATTCATAGGCTCTTTCAAGCAGTCAAACAAGCATACAGAATCATAAAATTACCCACGCTTTATCAAATGTTAACATTGTGCCAAGTTTGCTTCAGATTTTTTTCAAGGAAATGAGAAATGGATGTAGTTTTACGCTCATGATTGTATCTCCCCAATCCTATCTCCAGAAATAGCTACTGTAATGAATTTGCTGTTTATCATTCTCGTGCAAGTTCTTTTAATGCACACTTCTATACCCAGAAATGGTGTTTTGCAGTTTAAAAAAACCATGTTTTGCATTTTTAAAAACTTTTTAAAAAGGATATTATACTGTATATATTAGTCTATAAGTTGATTTTCTTGTTCAACATTATGCTTCTGAAATGTAATTAATACATTTAGATCTTATTCATTTAGTTTAACTACTACAGAGTATTCCGTTTCCTTTTCTCCTGTTGATAGACATACTCATTATTTCTAGATTTTTGTTATTACAAACACTATGTCTCTTTGGACACATATGTGAGAGTGACTCTAGAATGCATACTTAAGACATGCATCTGCTGGGTCATACACTTTACTATAAGTTGGCAAACTCTTAACTTCGGGGTCTATGGACCCACATCTATGGTTGTGTTTTAGGAAGCATAGCTCAGCTGGTGCATGCATGAGGTACTTGGTTCAATTCCCAGTATCTCCATTTGCAAAAGAAAAACAAAACAAAACAAAACAAAAAAGGAAGAGTAACACCGCTTGTATCACAGACAGAAGTGCTAGGGATGTGCGTGTTATGTGCATTTTTCTGGGCTGAGCCTCCATGAACTGCACCAGATTCTTCAAGAGGTCTTTTGTATGTGTCTTCGCCCAGCCCCCACTATTATTGTTCTTACTTCCCCTGCACCCAAAGTTAAGAACCAACCACTGCCACAGAAATGTTATTAAAAAGTACAGAATTTTAAAATAAACTAAACAGAAAGCAGAATCTAAAGACTGCTGATTAAATTAAGTAGCACATTGGATTTGGTGGTGAGGTGATGAGAGGATAAGTTGGGAAATTCTCTGGGTTCTTTCTTTAGGCGGTTGTGTTGACTGTGGCCCAGTGGGTCTCTGTCTTGTGTGAATATTGAGGAAAGTCACCCCAACCCAGAAAGCCGACCCCACCAGTGTGTGTGGCCTAAGCACCAACACTGATCAAAGGACCAGTTAATAGTAGCTAACTTAATACAGACTTTATTCTGTGCCAGGGACTAGGCTAAGCACTTTGCAGACATCTCGTGTCAACTTCTCACAAGCATCCTTTCTGTAAAGAATTCATCAAAGTAGTCTGACTCCAGACTCTTAACTCTAAGGCGTACATAGTCTTTGATTTTTCTCTATTAGTGCTTTTTAAAGAATGCCCTTAAAGATATCAGAAAACTTAAAAAGCCCAAAATACATTAAAAAATACTCCCAATTTCTTGGGAAGATTTGCTAGTTGGCAAAGAAGAATAAAACTATTGTTTAAAGTTATTTAAGGATGCAGGCACTATTGTTATATTAATTGTTTCATCATGATGTGCATTTTCATAGTCTAACTGACAATCAAAGAAAGCCAATTAACTTCAAAGGTGAAAATCATCCATGAAATGGGAAAGGCCAAAACTAAAATTCTCACACACTATTTATAGAGCAAAACATAAATCAGAACAGCTTTCTTTACATAATCACTTTTTTCGTACACACGCACAGCCTCCAATTTACAGAGGAACTGGTGTATGACTAAATGGAAACCAACTGTCAACACGAAGTTTCATTATGTGGATGGCACTGTATGGCCATGCCAGGGACAACTGTTTGAAAAACTGCCCGACCTTATTTCCAGTGGTAATAATTAAAAAAAAAATCAAGACAAGTTTATATTAGTTTATTCAGTCTTTATAATCTTTAGAGGCTTTTTATGTATTTATTTGTTTGGGGAGAGGTAGTTAGGTTATTTATCTATTTATTTACTTTTAGAAGAGGTACTAGGGATTGAACCCAGGACCTGGTACATGCTAAGCACACGCTCTACCACTTGAGTGTTTGGAGGTTTACTTTGCCTCATATTTGTAAAAAACCAAAACCCAAAAAACCCCTTCAAAAACTTATGTTTGCTAAATGTCAACTAACACACATCCTATTTCTACTCATCTGGACTATTACCTTCTCCCTTCCTTGATTTAGAGAAACTGGGGCTGCCATCTCGTTCCATTTGACACTGTCCACTTTCATGATGGAGTTCTTCCTCAATGCCACTTTCAGATGACTGTCCACTTAACGTCCCCTCATTCCAGCTCTTATAGTTTTCCTCTGAACTGTGTCTCAGGTGTAGTGTCAATTCTGCATCTCCATCCTGGTTGGTTCCGTTGCAGAACTTAAGTGGTGGATAATGCTGTGATATGAATCCAACAAATTTCATTCCTCTTTTAGCATCTGCGTTAATCTGAGGTTTAAAAAGAGATGTAGAACAAAATGTAAACTTTGTTTGCATTGATTGCTTTTTCAATTAACCTTTAGGCTCCTTAAGGAAATTCATTAGAGAAGGAGTAAACTGACCAGTAATTAAACTCCCATTCATAAACAAATGAATAACTTCTAATATGGCACCACTCCTAAAACCATGTCACACTATTATCGTGATTACTTCAAATAGAATCAATACACTTTAGAAATTATGAAAACAGGAATCATATTTTCTCTGAAAGGTTACTATTTGGGAAGAACTAATAATTCTATAGCATGATTTTGCAGCTCTGTTGATAATGGTTTTTTGACTTGGAGAAAAATTTAAAACTATTCCAAGAAATACTCAAAAATAGCATTACCAAATACATTTTAATTGAAATAAAGAAGACATTAATTTAAAAACAAAAAACATACAGCCTTGTTTGCTTGATGTGGATAAAGAAAAATGCTAAAAAGACTAATTACTAATTTTTTAATGATCTATATTATTTGTTTTTTGGGGGGGAATTGAGTTTGTTTATTTGTTTTAATGGAGGTACTGGGGATCGAACCCAGGACCTCGTGCATGGTAAGCATGCACTCTACCACTGAGCAATATACCCTCCCCACAAATGATTAATTCTTGACAAATGTGTACATGTAATGCGTAAGCCCAATTCATATTAGCACTCCTAAGAAGCTTTCTGATCTGTTTATCTCTTGACACTATTGTCTCCTTTCTGATCTAAATACACATGATTAGATTCAATTCTATCAGTTAAAGAATAGGATTCAGAAGCACATGACATAATGCCAGTGAAATCATTAGTGACCTAAAGAGTGGCTATTTTCCTATCATCACTTTTCTCTTTCTCTGCTTTTGTGTCATTTCTTCGTTCTTTTTGTTTCCATGTCTTTTCTCAATTGGCAGTTCTTTTGAGGGAAGGCACTCTGTCTTACTCATTTTTGTATTGTAATGTTTTGTACCTATATGTGCTCTATAAGTACTTGTTAAATAGGTTAAAAGGAAGAAATAGCAACATCTTTTATATGGTCACTGTTTTAAACATTTAAATTAAATGTTTTAAATATTACCTGCGAGGGGGAGAAAGAGTTATGATGGAAGTTGCAAGTGCAAACATCTATAGTCAGAAATAGAATGAAAAAGGCCAGGAAGAAGTGGGACAAAACCAGATAGTAATGTCCAATCAAAGGAGGCGACTGTAACTCAGCTCCAGTGGATGAGGAGGAGAATTCTGAGGACCAGAGGGTGTGGGTATGTGAGGCTAGGACAAACACTGCTGACACAGTATCACTTATGCCTATAAATGACCACATTAAGATTGTGCACTGCAAGAAGCCTCAAAAATAGCCATAAATTGTCCTTTATGTCAGGTGTCCCAGAAGAGGAGAAGGAGGTGGTAAGGAGGCAAGTGGAAACTGGTCAATTTATTGTCAGTGCTTTCTCTAGGTCTTATTCGTTGATTTTGGTGAAAAAGAAGGTTTTCTCTATTACTGAAAAGTATTATCTGGGAAAGTCTGGTAACGTATAAAGTATTATTGTCTTTTACGTTTTTTAAGTTGGAAGATTGATATTTTTAATGTTTTTTAAATTAAAGTATAGTCAGTTTACAGTGTTGTGTCAACTTCTGGTGTGCAGCATAATGTTTCAGTCACACCTATACATACATGTATTCATTTTCACATTCTTTTTCATTATAGGTTACTATATTGACTATAGTTCCCTGTGCTATACAGTTTCATGTTATTTTTATTTACAAATCCTGGGGAAAACACTTGCAAATCTAATTTTAAAAGAGCAAACATTGACATAATGTTATAATGACTTAAAACCTAGCTGTTCAACAATCAAGTTTTTATATAAAGCAGTCATTCAAGAATACTACTTGGCACTCATCTATTGTTCTTGTTCATAAACGAGGCAACGTCCACACATTTCATGTGCTATGTTTCCTGAAGCTCTTCTCTTCATGAAATAACCCCATTACTCTAATTGCTGAAATAACAGTACTTTCCTGTTTAAACAGATCTTTTACTCAGTCCAGGAAGTCAAATGCAAAACAAGGGCTCTGATGATGATCTATTAAGACTAAATTAGTAGTTACTTTTTGTTTCTGGAGTGCATTTATTCCCAGAAAAAAAAAAAGAAATTTCCCAGAATAGTAGTAGTAAATAGTGTGTACACCTTGTTTATAAAAATCCAGTCTCAAAGACTGTTTCTGAAAAATCTTACTGAATGGTGACTTTATATTTAAGTGGCAAATACCATTAGCAGCTATAACTGGCTACACACAAACCACAGATAATCTTACACACACGGGTTATTTAGAGCTTGGGAACAATAGAAACAGTGAACAAATTTCATAGTTGCTTACTTGAAAGGAGACGGCTTAGCTTTTAGGCTGTATTCATTTAGACCTTACACATATGTCAATGCAACTAAAGTTAAAAAAAATTTTCACCATAATATCTCATCAATTTAGAATACTTATGAATGTACAGCTTTTTTCTTGGTTTTAATCAATATATATTTGGCGCTCAGTGTTTCATTTAAGGTTCAATTAAGTTATATTGTATGGACTTTTTTCTCTCAACAGTCAATATAATTGTCATTTTTAATGAGCATAAAATATTCTATCATATTTGATATAAGATTGCCTCCTCAGTTTCCCAATTGTTGAGAATTTGGCCCCTGTTTACTGTTGATTAAAATATCTGCATAAACATGACTTTTCCCTTTTCAATTAATTTCTTGGAGTAGATTCATAAAGAGGAAATTACTGGGTCACAAAATAAAACAAGACTTATGACTTTTATTACCAAATTAGTATTCAGAAACACTATACTAATTTATTACAGTGCTAATTACAGTATATGCATGTTTCTTTAAAGGTCTTTCCAACACTGGATTTAATATTTTCAATTTAATTTCTCAGTTAACACTGGTGAGAAATTAATTCAGTTTTGATTTATATTAAAAATTATTAGTTGGGTTGAACTTTTTGCTGAATGTCTCTTTATTATTTGTGTTTCTTTTTGTACTCTCTGTCCATAGATTCTGTCTATTCAAGATTGAACATACTTTCATGCATTCATTTCCTGTATATTCTGAAAATGAAGCTTCCATAGGACACATTTGTTGTGGATTTCACCCTGTCTTGATTCTATTTTTTCCTAGTAAATAACATGTTTATATACTCAAATTCCGCAATCTGTTTATAATTAAATATGTCCACTCTTTCATTTTCTTTAGGATTTTTTATACTTGAAAAACTTTTCTCTTCATCCCATGTGAAGTGTGCAGAATCTATTTTCTACAGAACAATTGCCCATTTTCCCAGCAGCACTTACTGAGTAATGGTTGTTCCCTTATTTTATTTCATCAGGTTTGTTATGAAACTTCTTTTATGTGTATAAATTTATTTCTGGCATTTCCGTTCTGTTTCACTGGCCTGCATTTCTGTTTTTAACTCTATGATTTGGTACATGTGCTTCAATATGTTTTAAATTCTGGTAGACTAAGTCACCTATCATTTTCCTGTTCTTTTTAAAATAAGAAAGGAAATTGATGAAGAAGAAATACCAAATATCTCTCAATATCCCATGAAAAAAATGTATACTTTTAGTACCTTTTCTATCAGTTCTTTTGCTACGTCATTTGTTTGTGTCTCATAAGTTAGAGGACATTCCTCAATCACAAGCCTTGGGCGTCTTTGTCCACTGGGTGCTGTCGAATGCTTCGTGCTGTAACAGAGAATATGTTCATGGTTGGAAGCCAACTGCTGATTTTCAGCTAATATGCTCATGTGAAAATGAGTGAGCAACTCACAAATAAAGTCAAGGCAATCCTTTTTCTTTGTTACTTCAACCCTAATGGTTGTCTGCTTATGTAAAACTATTGGAAAAACATAGTAACTTCTATTAATTTAAACCTCTATTACTTTAATTTCTAATTTAATATGGAAGAAAAGCTTCATGTCTGTTGTTCTGACAAAAGTTAAGAGAAATGATTTTAGATCACTGTTATACCTCATTATTGTACAAAAGCACAAGTGAAAAATCCTATTTAAGTGCAGATAAATACTGTCCTGTCTTTTTCCATTTTCTTCTTTTCTGATTTTCACCACTTGCCTATTCTTAGCCTTGGCAGGGCACTGATAAATCTATCTGAAGTAGTGCTAAAAGAAAAAAAATAATTTATCTACGGTTTATAAGATTTGTAATTCGAACATACGTGTTGCTGCTGTGTGATAAATGACATACTTACTTAGCAATGCTTGGAGGTGTACATATCTGACGAGGCTCCGTGTCTTGGTGAAAGCTGAGAGCTGAACACACCCTCTAACACATGTGTAAGTGGGTCCCTTAAAAACACATCTGGGATTTTCTTAAAGCCCTTTTACTTTTTTTCAGTTTTCCTGTTTTCACACTTTTCCTCTTATTTCATTTTTCCTTCTCTGCTTGGCCCTTTCATAGTGAAAGTGATTGATTATTAACTAGTCCGTGGCTATAAACAGAAAACACAGTTCTTACCCTGGTCTTTGAGATGATTTTGATATAGTTGAAGAGTTGTGTAAAAAAAAAAATTAATGTGTTAATCGAAGACATTGGTCTGGTTATTTTCATTCTTCATTGGAAGGAGCAGCAGTATTTTGAATACTATCAAACGTACAAGCTAAGCTGGCAAAGATGTTTGCAGTATTGTTTGGAAAAGCAGCTATTTTAAAAAGTTAAAAAAAAAAACTAAAATGAGTGGCTTTTACATTCTGTTTTTTGGAAACAGCTGACAAGAGGTCTATCTAGTTTGTGAGATCTTGGCACGTAGGCCTTTCTGCTGCAAAAGTTTTAGAAGGTAGAGATTGTTTCTGTTGCCATTATTAATAAAATAATATTGGACGGTTAAAAAAAATGCTCAGTGAAAGTGGTCGTCATTGGTCCGGTCAGCTCTTTTAGCCCAGTTATAGGACAGGAAGAATGCCGCTAATGGCTACTCCTTCATCTGCTGAAGTTGCTACGGGAGCTTCCAGGTGCTTCTTGAGTCTATTTCCCTTTCTCTTTGCTCCCTGACATTCTTGCGCAGGACCTGTGTTGTCTGCAAGGGGCTAAAATCTATGAGGAGTTTTAAAGAAGGAGACTTAAGTTTCCTTCTCTCAATCCAGGTTCAACTGCTGGGAAATATGCCTCAAACCAAAACCCCTAATTTTCCTTTATTTGTCATTACTTTGTTCAAGCTTTCTTTTCTTTTAGCCAAAGAAAACTGTCACTCTCAACAGCCTCTTAGTATGACAGTTTTCTTGAGCACCAGGCTTACCTTAACTTCAAGCGCGACAGCACCACCCTGTATAGGTAACTTGCAGGTAGGTGTTTTTGCTGCCCCACGGGTTGTATAACAGGATGAATAGCCGCAACAATATATCCTTTAAGATAGTAGTCTTCCACTTTTGTTACGATATCTGGAATTGAATTTATCTTGATGACTTCTGGGTTCGGTGAAGCTGCAAAGAGAATTGCACATTCATGTGTGCACACTAAAATGCAAAGAGAAATTTACACATTCATAGAGTTGAGTTATACATTATTTCTATCTATGTGTGATAAAACTAATGAATAGGAAACATATCCATATGATTTACTCTCAAATAAAGTTACACTAACATGTGTTATATATTTTCTAGATTAATTTCAGGAAAAAGCAAAAGTAACTTTGGGAGCTGGTCGATAGATAGTATTATCAATATGTTTTAAAGTAGAAATACAAGGCCTTATATATATATTTTCAATTAAGACAGCTTTATTTTTTAGGATTTCATTTGAGTGATGATATTTCCATTAATAGATATTGAAGACATACATAAGAGAAATAATATTATGTTGAAGAGCTAATTGTTTTAATGATTCTGAACAACATGAGATGCATAATTTCTTAAGAATGATGTTCATACAAATCTAAAAATTAAAAACGGGAGAAATAGTACTTGTTAAGCAAGAATTGTCAAGTGCTTTTCTTCTTTCCAATTACATTTCAAAAACAGTATTTTAAGTTTCTCTGGGAGAATAAAAATGATTCTTTTTTTACAGCACTTATATAAATACTTGAGTACAGAAATTGAAAAAGTAAAGGTCCAGAAGTTCTTTTTAGTAAGAAAAAATTCTAAATGTAGAGAAAATTTAAATGCAAAATTGATATGCTGTTGAGCATCCCTCTGAAGAAAGGCATATTTGCAGAAACTATAGAATAGTGCCATCTGTACAGCTTTTAGTAAAAGGGAAACGGATGTGTTCTTTGGTTCTTAATGTTCCAGTAGTTTAAATTAATAATTTAAAAAAACAACCTTACTTTCTATAACAATATTTCTCATTTTCTGGAAGACAACCAAGAATTAATATCTAGAAATAGACCTGCAGTTTGGTTATCTCTTGAGTAAGAAAACATATGAAATTAACTCCAGGCATGGGCAGTGCTGGCTGTTGGCCTTCTGTCAGCGTGGTCAGTGCTGTCAGAGCAAAGAGCTGCTGCTAACTGCCTGACCGCAGGAAGGAGGTTAAGAAGCAGACAAGGAAGACGGGTCAGAGGAAATCCTCAGCTCCTCTTAACATTAATATTCCATGTGATAGAACAGAAATCCACTATGTGGATTCATGTGAGCTCATGCCAACTTCTTAAATGAAAATAAAGTACTGAAAGAAAAGTTGTATAAATGAGGATGAATCCATTTACTCAAATTTTCATCCTCTTGGATTTAAACTAGTCTACTTGTAGTATATTTTCATCATGACAAATAGGAATGAAAAAAAAGAGAATGATCCTGGACTTGGAAGAAACAGCTGGGTTTCATTGCAGAACAACGCAGTTCTGCCTGGTTGTGTAGCAATCACTCTGTGATTCATCTGGTTTTGTTTATTTTTTTAAGTATTTTAACTACCAACCCTGATTCCCAAACAAAGAAACTAAAAAATTGTAAAATAGAATAAACTGTTAAGACTAAGGAATGAAACATAGCCTAAACTCATTTTTAGAACTATATATGAATCCTATAAAATTTTAAAGAAAATTTTGGCCTTCTAATGGATCTCATTGCTTATTGTAGAAAGTGGAAATGCTTAGCATGTTACAGAAGAACCTTCGTAGTCTGGCCTCTGTCTACTTATTCAGCCTTTGCTCTTGTCATCCTTTTACTTGTGTGTCTTGCTGGGGCAGGACTGAGCTCCCAGAGTTCCTGAAGCTGGCACACTGTTTCATGCCACAGGGTCTTTGTTTCCCTTCCTGCTCCCAGGCCAGTTAACCACTCCTTCCTCTGTGCTATGTGTGTTTCCTCCTAGTCCCCTTGTCAGACTGTATTACAGTTCCTTGTATGTGTGTTTGTCTCTGCTGTCAGACTGAGAATTCCTTAAGGGCCAGGAACCTATCTTCTCTTTCTATGCCTAGCATTTTCCTTAGGTCACTATGTTAAGTTGGAAATAATTGTCCATAAGGGGAACAAAGAGGCAAAATTACTGCATAAAAGAGGAAAAGCTATCAAGATTAGCTAGTATAAATGTAAAAAGGTTAGTAAATTCAGGAACAGCTGCACTTATTCTAGGTTATTCCATGGCTTGTGAGAGAGAGACACAACAGAGAGAGACCACACAGGGAGATCTGTGGGACAGTGACTCTTCTGATCACAGAAGTGAGGGTGGTCAAGAACACTGTGAGGAAGGTCGTATTCACTTCAGGAGACTCTAGCTTCAGGCTGTACTTTATGTTCCTTAAGTTAATGATACTTTGGGGAGAAAAAAACACATTGCCATTGAGGTAAAAAGTAATGAGAGATGGAGCTACACTGGGTGTAATTACCTCTACCTTGGAGTGAAGTTTGGAGAGGAATTTGGGACAGGACTGCACTGCAGACAAGGAATGAGCTTGTGGACTTAGCAGATCTCTGGATCCTGCCTTGCTACTGTCACTGGTTTGGTTGGAGTCACCATTAGGTCCTATGCGGTCTTATCTGGTCTACTCTGGCATAATTGCTTGGAAGGAAATCCCAGAAATCAAGAACTCAGTGTTGGGAAAAGTCCGCTTTCCTGTAGCCCTGAGTTAAGAGTTCAGAGTGATTTAGGCAGCCTGATGCTCTGCTTACTCTCGGTGATCCTGCCACCATCCTAGACAGCAGAGCAGTGCAGGAGCCAATTCAGAAAAGGCACTTAATGAGCTCAAAGAGGCACTTAAGTTGTCATTAAACATAGAATATTTGAAAATATTTCAGTTATTCTGTATTATTATTAGATGCTCAGCAGTTAGTAATTAATATTGCTAGACTATTTTAGTTCTATCATACCACCTCCATCGTTAGAGATTGTCTATTATCTGGAGATGGATGGTGGTCATGGTTACACAACAATGTATGTGTACTTAATGCCACTTAAAATGGTTAAGATGGTTAAATGGTTGGTACAATAAATTTTATGTTATGTATATTTTACCACAATAGAAACATTGTATGTCAAAGATAATATATATTACACATGTACCTATTCATATACATAATATATATTTATTTTAATTGTGTTAAAAACAACAAATTTTACTATCATAACCATTTTTGGGGGGGGAGGAGGAAATTAGGTTTATCTTATTTATTAATAATAATAATAAGGTACTGGGGATTGAACCCAGAACCCCGTGATTGCTAAGCATGCACTTTACCACTAAGCTATGCCCTCCCCCTCATAATCATTTTTAAGTGTACAGTTCAGTAGTGTTAAGTATATTCACATTGTTGTGCGATAGACCTCCAGAATGTTTCATCATGCAAAATTGAAACTCTATACCCATTAAATGAGTTTGACTACTTTAGATACTTCATCTAAGTAGAATCATACAATATTTGTCTTTTTGTGTCTGGCTTATTTCACTTATTATAATGTCCTCACAATTCACTCATGTTGTAGCATGTGACAGGATTTCCTTCTTTTTTAAGACTGAATAAGATTCCATTGTATGTATATTCCACACTTTGTTTATCCATTTATCCATCAGTGGACATCAAGTTGTAAGAAAATTCAAAGCTTATTGAAAAAATACTACTTACTTGACAAAAGTAAAACACAGAAGTATATAGATTATAGCTGATATCTTAAGAAATTTATGAGTGGAGATGAACATTTTATTTTTGTGAAAGCATGTCTTTGTAAATTGTTAAATTTAATACAAGAATAAGGAATGTGCCTTGGCTTGGAAATTTTCCCTTTACCATTACTGAAGGCCAGGTGATAATTATAGCATGAAGCTGGTTATTTTTCCAAACGGTATGACTAGATAATTCAGAGTGCTTGAGGTGTCAGTCAACAAACCACTTAAGGATCATTTGCATAAAAAAATATGAGTCAGGTTGTTGCCTGCAAACTTTCCATTTGGTAATTTCTGGCAATATCAAGAAAGCCCCACTCTCAAACTTGTAGAATGGGTGTTAGGTACTTGGGAGAAAGCTCTAGCACTCTTTTAAGAAATGTGGCATTGCCAATACTCTTGACAGCTCAGAGGAGACAAAACTAAGTGGAAAAATGGGGGCATGAGGATTCTTAGTTCATTCTTGATTCAGAAGAATTGGGTCCTGAGTATGAAGAAGTTTTAGGAATATCTTTATTTCACTTAGCTTTCCTTTCTTATATGTGTAAGAGAAAGACAGAAGGAAAAATTTATGTTTAAAAATGTCTAAAAGAGCTTTCGCCACTGGTAAAAAATAAAATTACTAAGTGATAAGGAAATAGTCATAGTTTAATTTTTTAATATGTGCATTTTTTCCTAATTGGTACATAAAGTAATGGTGTGTTTTACAATCAATAGTGTCTTGGAGTCAATGGAAAATGGTAAATTATATAGCAAAGAAGTGATTGCAAAGACATTGGCTAAGAGGATAAGAATCTGAAGAACTATTGGTTTGGTGGTATAGATGCCCTCAATTAAAACAAACATCTAACAGGAATAAATTCTTAGTTCTTTCCTTAAGTCTAAAGCTCACAATGAGAGAAATCTGATTTAATATATGTTCATTTGGTGGGGGAAAGGTGGAAACCCTGGAGTCTTCATCTGACCACAGACTCATTACACATTAGGAGTTTATCTGATGTGATTATGGGCAGTAGGAAGGGGGCTTACGGAATTCTGTGCTGAACAGACCATCTCTGGCATACTCCCTGCTTATTTTTTTCTTTTTCACATGCATCCCTATCTAAATAATATCAGAATATACTAACGTTCACCTGCCTATCTTGTTTAATATCTTCCTCCCTCACCTGAATGAAAGCTCTGAGAAGGCAGGGTTCATCACTATATTTCTATACCTAGAACAGTGCCTACCACATCAAGGTTCAATGAATATTGGTAGAATGAACAAGTGGATTGTGTTCAATTTAAGGGCCAAATTAGAGACAGGCAGTTTCAAGCTGGAGTATGTTCCAGAGAAAGTGTTCAGGAGAGCGAGAAGTCTGAAGACCCTGCCAGATGTCCTTATCCATG